ATTTTGCTTATTTCAATGTATAATGCTAAGTACGGACCTTTTAAGAAAACGGTCAATAAATACTAAATTGCTATTATTTCGTGTGTGTGAGTAGTAGTAGAAAGTGTACCGAACTTCTTAAGAATTCCGTACTGCTTAAGAAAATTTGGCTCAATAAATTTTTCTTGACCATTTCTTGGGCGATTTTTTTATTCGTCGAACTAAAGAAATTTTTAAAAATAATAACATAAAGAGAGATTTGCTTTTTATTAACCCGCCATATCTAACTTCAATTGCATTTCTGCTTGGATACAAAAATTTAAAACCAATGGTTTGTTTTTACGAGAAGGCATTGGTGTTATTGAAGAGATTAAAAATATTTAATCTCAAATGGAGAATAACGAATATTTAAACAAATTAAAACGACCAGTGCAGATCTCTATTATTAGACAATATCAAGCAACACTTGACTGTCCATTTCAATTTTTCAATTCTTGAAATAGACTGAATAAAAAAAAAACATTAAACTGTACTTAAAACTTGTTGTTTGCGAGCATATTTGCAAGCATATTTACCAATGTTTTAGTCGTGTCCATATTTATTTTTCCACCACTGTATATATGTATGTAAAATGCCACACAAAAAATCTAAAACTATGAATTTGTGATTGACCAGACATTATTTATCGTGTTTGCTAAATATGGTCTGATGGCAAGCAACACCACAAATCCTTCGATTTTGTCATTAAAATTACAAGTGTACAAATAAATAATAATGACCGACTTGCGACAAATTCGTTGAGAACTATGACAACTGCGGATAGATGTCTCGGAAGACATCCTGAGCGCAGAGAAGGACGTGCTATTGGCTTCCAGTCAGGACTCGGCACGCTCTGCGATAATACCACCAGTGAGCGCTAAGGCAGCATTGAGTCCTCCAGGGAGCACTCCAAAGCAAGAAAGAAGGAAAACCAAGTCCGCGGGGGTGGCGCTCAAGTCGTGGTACAACAGGGCTGTATTCATTCTTGACAATATTGCCAAGAATGCATCGGCCGGTACTGTGCACCCCAAGGATGAGGAAGACAGTCGCGGGTGCAATGAGGTGGTGGAGGAGTACAGGAGGTACCTTACTTCAAAAGTGGATGAATGTAGGAGAGAGCTGGCCTATTTTTCTGATCAATACGAAATTACCCTAATATGGGTCCCGGGACATAGGGGCATCTAGAGAAACGAGGCAGCGGACGAACTAGCAGGGAGCGGCTCCGCACTGAATGTGTCCCCCGCTGTGGACATGGGCCCTTCGCTCAGGGAGATTAAGACAAAAATTACCGAAATGTATCATTCGAAGGCCAGGCAGAGATGGAACCGGACAGGGGATTACCCGGCAATTTTGCGTGTCCTACGAGCCACTCAAAACCTCTCAAGCTCTCTTAGGAATGAGCAAAACAGATGCCTACAAATTTACTGCAGTATGCACAGGTCATTGGCCCGTTGGGGTGCATGCCGAAAGAAAAGGACTGCCCTTCAATAGGTTCTGCGGCAGCTGCGATGACCCAGGCTCAAAGGAGACATTCGAACATCTGCTGTGCGAGTGTCCAGCCCTCGCTAGGATGAGGCTAAAGACACTCGGCAAACCATTCATGCAGAATATTTCAGAGTGCAGCTGCCTCTCTGTTATCGAAGATATCATATACCAGTGGGAATGTTTGCATTAGTTCCTGAGGTAACTTCACATAATTCAGATGACTGTAGCGGTGACAGTTTACTCGTAATATGAATATTTCACAGTCGCTTTAACTAAAGATTCTGCTTGCATTTATGATAAGTTTCGTTTTACTTACTTTTCGCAATCATACTTTTAAGTAGCTTACATTCACATAACTCAAAAACTTCTCTTACAATTGCAGCGATATACAGATTTGTGAACACTTATGCATTATAACGGGTTTCGAATTGTAAATTATCTCACGGCAGTCAGTCACCTGCTGCAATGCAATCAACTCAACCAAATGTAGATACATAACGCTTGTTTGCTGCGAGAAGGTCATAACGCAAAAATAAAAAATAAATGCAAGATGAGAGAAATGATTTTGAAAAGTCAGGTTTTTCCTCGCGAACAAAAATTAAAAAAAAATCGTCATTGCAAATGAGCATACATACATATGCACAAGTACAAATGCATGGATGTATTTAGAAATTAAATTTATTATAGATGCTTTCCATTTCCAGACAACCGGTCAGGTACGAGCATGATTTTTAATTTCGACCAAACTCAAATACATTGTTTGTTGGTCCAAATAATGAGACACGTATTTTTTCTTTTGGCTCGGAAAAATTTTTCGGCCGAATTAAACGCGATTTTGTTTTTCAGGCAAAAATCGATTATTCGAATTGACAGTGAGAATGTTTTTTTAAAATGCCCATAACTTTGTCAAAATTTAATAGATTCCAACAATGTTTTTACTCAAATGTCAGTAATTCTTGTCACTTCAAGATAGAATGATATAATTATTGATTTTCATTATTTAAAATTTTTTATTTAACAATAAACAAAAAGTGCAAATTTTTTTTTAATTTAATTTCTCAAAAAGTGTATTTTTTTTCTCTCAAACTTTTTTACCGGGAAAGAGACACTTTGAACTACAATCAACCCAAATCTCTAATAGCGAAGATTTTTTTTTCTGAGTTATGATTTTTTATAGAAAATATACGTTTTTGTGGTACATACTACAATATTCTTATATCGTTTAACTAAATGGAACATATGTATGTAATATATCAGCAAAAAGTACAGCCGTGATCATTTTTTGTGTATCAAATAGATATTAGAACACACTTTCCACCATACAGTTTCGATTATAAAAAGCGGGAAAATGTGATTTTGTATTTCGAAACACAAATCGATTTCACAAACCGATTCTAGGCAGGATTGCGCAAACAATTTTCTTTTTTTCATCGCAGGTATCGGAAAAGCTTAGTTTTAATCTCATAAAAAAAAAAAAAAAACTACACAAAGCATCTGCTAATTTGTTTGATTCACTTGAACTTATGGATTAAGAGAAGCTAATCAAATTGCCTTTGAACACTTCTGAAGCATTTTAAAGCAATTTTAGATATCGCATAGCGAGCTGCGTGAAACCGGTGAACACACACACCCCACTGCAGTAAATCGGAAATTTGATGATTTCCTGAATCCAGGGCTTAGATAATGTGCAAGATTTCGCAAATAAAAAAAGCGGGGAAATATTAGTTGCGTTCCAGATGCTTCACGATACTCACGAAATTCACGATTTGCAGGAACAGCTGTTTTCTCCATTAATAAACCTTATGAGAGGTGGTCACCTGGAACGACTTCCTGTAAAAACCTGCAAATCGTGAATCATCTGGAACGCAACTATTTTTACAACTGTAACCGAAGTCCAGCGCATACCAAAAAAAAAAATATCGAGATTTTGCTAAAATAGAAATGACAGATAGTCGGCTTCTTATTGTAGTAATACTGGACTACAATTCATGAAAAAGGTGGGGTTCATGTCTCAATAAGGAAGACCACGAGTAGTTCTAGGAATTTGGACTCCAAAATTTCCAAATAGACAACGTAACAACTCGGGCCTGCAATCTGGTACGACTTGCGTGGATTAAAATGACAACTAGAAAGTTGGGATTTTCTCGGGCGGAGAACTTAAGTATTAGCGAATCCGACGAATTTAGTAATTTAAATTTAAGAGTTTATACACAGTGCTTTATGAACGCATCTCATAAAACCAAACGTCAAGATCAAGTAAAAATCAAAAGTTTGTCGGCTGTGCATACTCAGTGCGGGTTCGATCCCTGCTAAAGTCTAGACAAAGAAATCTGAAGGATACCCGGAATGTGATCGAGAAAAGAGTATGGTGGTTTAGGGTGCGGTTGGCGTTTTGTAGAATAACTGAGCTGAAATTTTAAGTTCTTTTTCAGTTATTTATTTATTTAGTCCAGCACAACAACCAACGTTACATTTCAGTGTTAGTTACTAAAGATATTACAATACCTAATATTTATTTATTTTAAACCATATTTCATAATTAAATTTATAAAATATATTTTGGTGGTAACCCAACAAACATTTAAGTTACAGAACCATTAAAAAGCGACTCGATTTCAAATGTGTTTCTATAAGGTAGAAGGAAAAAAGACGATTAGAGAAACTGTCGGGAATTGTAGCTTTCTCTACAGTCTGACTTAGTTCTAAATATCGAGAAAGAGGTTAGGTATCTAATCGTATTCTAATATTGAATTCTAATTGGTTTCTAATGTCTAGTGTTTTTCTAATCATTCTCTAAACGATTCAAGAGAGAGGACACTAGACTTCTGGTGTTCTAACAGGACATTGCCTGCAGGCATCGCATGCTTATAAACTGGCTCTGACAAATGATAAGATCTGTAGAATATGCACAACGAAGGAGGAGACAGTGGAGCATATCATCTGCCGGTTAGTCACTGGGTGCAGGTTTTCTACCTAATCTGGAAACCGCCGCCAAGGTAGGGTGTAACAAGCTCCTCCAGTTTGCCAAGAGGGCTGCGATGTTTTTCTACATTGCTCCTGGTACGTAGTGATTAGCTGTATAAAGCGGTCGTAGTTTATCTGGTAACGCTATGAACCTTATTGGTCTCTGCGAAGTCACTCGAGTGGCTGGCCAGCACACCTAACCTAACCTAATCGAATTCTAATGTAGTCAAAATATTTCTCAAACGTTAGAGGCTGTGTTTGCCTGGAAGCTACTACACCGGTCGCATATTCTCACATTCTTTTCTTGAACAAGCAAAACGTAAATTTAACAGACAAAAATTTAACGGAATAAGTTTGAAATTAATTGTTCTAAACAGTTTACATACAATGTTTTTTTTTTTTTTGCTTTGTTTTATCTTCAATTAAGAGGGAATGTGTTACTAAAATTGTAAATCGTATTATGTCAAAAAAAAAAACAACAAAGCTCTAGCAATGGCAAAACGACTGAGAAGTTAAATCAGTTTAGCGCAGACAACACTTAAGGCACAATCGCATGTGTATTACTAAAAAAACTGAAATGCATTAGCATATTGGCATAGATATACATATATATAGATATTAAACATATCTATATACATGCATACGAATTTATGCAAAGTGGAGGCGGGTGTCATCGTCAGATCATGTTGCCATTGCCAATGTTACCTAGTAGCATTTAAAAAACCACAACCATCACTGCCGCTATTGACAAAGGACAAACATCGGCGACTGTTGTTAACAATCATGTGGTCTGCATACAACGGTAATTAATATCTAAATACAACTACATATGCTAAACTATATACTCACCTTGCTCTGCTTCATACTGGTAATGAAAATATTTCCGTGATTGCTTTTGAAAGAAATCAGTGAAGTCATTTTTCTGAATTGTGCCCGCCTGATACTTGAGCCGCCAGTCTTTAAGCGGTGTATCGGCAGTGTGTGTTGGCGGTGCAACCACATCCTCCAAAACGAAGCGTTCCATAGTGATGAGCAAATGCTTCAATACTATTCGGCCTGCCTACGTTGTCCCAATACTTGTGGACGTTCGTATCCACCTACAAGCGGTGGCCCGCTTGCTATTTGTGTTGAGTGGCGAGCTGTTGCGGTTTTATTCGTTGTTTTGTTTTCTGATTTCAATTTTGTGCTCTTGCTTTATATTCCACTATATTTTGATTTTTTTTTTTTAGCGGAAAATTTTATATTGCATATTATTATGATTACGCACCGACAGTGGACAGTGTCCGTCAGCGAATCTAACAGGGGCGTCGCGCGGTTGCTATGTATAGCAAGTCGTTTCTTTATTCCAAAATAAGTTGTCTCGCGCAACTGAATTGCTTATAGTATGTATGTATGTATGTATGTAGGTTGTTATGCCTTTGTTTTGTAATTTATTTTAACAGGAAAGAAAGCGTCGTCGCCAATTTACTTTATGCACCTCCTTTGTTTTTGCTTTGAGATTCCCTTGCTGTATATGAATATTTCACCGAATTTTCTCTTATTTCTGTTCTTTTTTTATGTTTCGATGTCCGTTTGTATTTTTAATTGCTGTATCTGGAAAAAAGGAAATTCATATATGTATGTTCATGAAACAGTAATTTTACATATAGCTTGCTAAAATATGTATGTATGTATGCATGTACATATGTATAAGAAACAGAAAAGTTAATACATATCCTAAAAAATAGTTTGCAGCATTATCAATGCATTTAATACGAGTATTGCGTGTTTATGATACTTCCTGCATCCATCCATTATACATACATCTATGCTTTTTCTATTGAGCAAAGCAACACGATCGTCACAGTGTGATTTAAAAAAAAAAACTTTATTTTTATTATGGATGCCGTTCAAGTTTGTATGTCCATACATATGTACCTACTAGATCCGTATGTATTTGCATAGATATGTACAAATGTATTTCATGTTGGCAATATTTGTAAGATTAGTAGATAAGTATTACTCAGGGAGCTCTGATTAGCCCTTATCGCTGACGCCTGTATCACCACTTATCACAAAGGAAACATATATACATGTCGCACACCCTCTTCAAAAGAGCACAACTCAACAAAAACTGTTGGCCCCTACTTTTGCATAAATCAGTGGTAAGATTTATCTCTAATTAATCCAAATATTTTTTCTTCATGATTACATTTTCCAGCCCAAAAACTACTGAAATGCCTATTTTTGAGTTAATTGCGTTGAATACACAAGACCCACGAGTAGTTACATATATTTGGCTTTTGATATTAAGGGCTGGTTTCTCCAACTCCACTTAACTTAGTTTTGTCATTTTTTGGCCTTAGTCAAGAATAAGCTGATTAAAAAGTAGGCTGACTTTTGGTTTACGTTAGCCTAGATGGTGAAAATGAACTTGGACTTATTTTCAGTGCCACTGACTTAACTAAGTTAAGTTGGGTTGGAGAAACCAGCCCTAAGAGTTATGCGTTTTTTAAAGATGGTCTACAAATTCGCAAGATTTCAGTAAAACATTGTAGATAAGTGGGCAAGTACATACATAAATATACAGATATGTATATGGTATGTATGTATACATATGTATGTATGTATGGATATGGCTTTGTTTGATACTGATTCATACTTATCCACTGGTATAAAAATAAGTAAGCATTTCTTTTATCATGTTTACATTATATCTGCATCGGTTGTTGCCTTCGTTGCTTAATATTTAAGCATACACAATACAAATTGTGAGCGTAAACTAGGTACGCTGTTGATATTGACAGAGGCGTTATTTTATTAAATAAGAGTTCAATTAATGCATTTTTGTTATAGGTATCTTTCATTCCTGTATTAGACCTCATGACAAAGTCTATATGGTACATATAAAAGAGAACCTTCTAATTGTTGAAACGTATTTGGCCTTTTTTGCTTTTGAATTAAATAGGGTGGGCGCGGAATGATTAGCAAGCGTACATATTTTCGTGAAGGGGCTAATTAGCGTAAAGTTGCCAACGATAGAGTAGTGAGACCAACAAAGTTTTTACCAATTTACCAATTGTACGACTCAACGAGGTCTCGGAAACTGGTGCTAGGTCTGAATTTCTACTTTGGCTTCCAACATATGTACGTATGTACATACATACATATGTGCATATGTACATATCGACTTTTACACCTACGCCTTTTCAGCGCAAATTTAGTTCACATATCAATTGTGCATTGCTTATTGTACATATTTTACAAGTTTTTTTATTAATCTTGTTTACGTATTGCGATAATAAAAATCCAGTTCGTTTATTTTTTTGTTGATATATTCCCTTCATATATGTATGTATGTATATATTTTAATTTGCTGCTCACTGCTCCCACTTTTACTGACGTAAAATTCTTTTTTCGGTCATTATTGCTTGCAAAAATATTTTTCTTCAGCCTGCCCTTTTCCAATACACATAATTTGCATGCGTATGCACTTATTTCATCATACTTCACTTGCCTTTGTATTTATTATTGCAATGTTTGCATAAAAACCTTATTAAAATTGGTAATTACTTGCAATTATATATTTAAAAGATATTGCGTACTTTAAACCACTACTAATTCCACTTAACGTTTTTAGCTGATTTCTTCACTCACTTTCATGTAATCACACTACAAATTTTAATTTCATTTCTTTTTAGTCCCAAAATTATTCTTTTCTCCTATCTGTCTTCCTCCTTTTTGGTACTTTGTTTTTATTTATTTCTTTGGTTTTGTCCGATTGTCGTTTGCTCCCTCTCGCTCACTCCAGCTCTATTACAACCACACAAATGCATTATCATATATATTTATCTCCTGCGCTAACTTTTGTTATTGTTTTCATCCGATTTTGGAGAAAATCACAAAAGAAAACTGATAAACACATACTCAAATGAAATAAACGAGTTTAAAGCAAATTGGAATTATTTTCGACAGAAGTGATACTGAATTTTTCGGCAAAAATACAAAACCATTCTATAATTACGAGATTCTGTACCTGTCAATTTTACACGTGAATACTGACTGAACAGCTGTCAGATACGCAGGTGTTGCTTGAGTCAATTTTTTCAAATTGTTCGTTGACAACGCATGAGTGTGAAAGAGACGACAGTAGATAAACTCTCATGATTGCCGCTTCAAATAAATTGAAAAGATATTGCCACTTGCTAGAAATATTTAAATTGCAGCAAATATTTATAGTCCCTGTGGCAAGTCCGAATCTGAGCTTTAATGATGCACAGTGGTCATGATTGCTAGTTGGTAACTTTCTACCAAAATTTTTATAAATTTTTTTAATTTTACATTTTATAAATTTATTTGCACAATGACAGAATATTCTACACATATATTGCAGTTATTGCCCTGTGAGTAGGCGTTTGATTCTATGTTACCATAAAAGTTACATTCGTCTAAGTAAATCTACGTCCTTAATAAAGTTATACATTGCTTTAACATTATTGAAGGGGGGATTTTTTAGCAATTCGATCGGGTTAGCGGAGTCTAGCAGCCATACCTAAACAAAAACGGGAACGCCAGCCAGATCGGGCGTTTAAACTTAGTTTAAACCACGGCCGTGCACCGAGAAACTGGCCCTAAGCGAGTTTTTTGCCGGCGAGTGACTGGTGTTTGGCAGAGTAAAGTGTGGTTTAGAGACACGGGTTCCTCACAGAATGGAAATGTTTGAAAGTTTCACAGGTTTTAGTCCGAAGTTCAAAGGAACAGATCAAATTTTACTCTCTCAGGGAGAACAGATGCACAAGTGTATGGGAACGTAAAAATCACTTTTTCCAGCAGAAACGTAAGGCTGTTTGTTTACAGATCACTGGTACTATTAAGAATAATTGCGTATATATTCAGATATTTCGTTTTCATTACGCCGTCCAGTTTTTAACAAATGTAAGGTTCTTTGCTTTCACTGCTTTGTTTTTATTTACAAATACAACCCTGTTTATCGATTGACATTTTTCATGAATTTGCCAGAGAAAAACTCCGGACTAAATCCAGTAACTTCTGATTAGGAAGAGTTGCTCAGTAACTCTCTCAGAAGTGCTCCCAGCTATAGATTTTTTGTTTATAGGAATGACTTTCTCTTAGTTCTGACTAAATCCTGTAAACCGGACTCGTATGGGAACAGACTAATTATTTTAATATATTAAATTTATTAAATTTTTCATGTACACAAGTTGTTGTTGTTGTTGCAGCTGCTTACTTAGCCCTGCCTAGATCGGCTTGTTCCTCAACCGTGCCACTCCGACTTGGTTGGACCAAAGGGAGTAGATATTGAGTTCGCTTTTGTGGGTAAGTGAAGAATAGTTTTGTGTCTTTCGGAGACTCTTCATATGACGGGCACACATTACGTTTAAGTACTTTATTCTGTTCAAGTACTAGTGAAGTCTGCTGCAGTAGCCAGAACGAAGTTGAGCCAGTGTGGTGCGTATCTTCCGAGCCAGTTGAAGTTCTGTCTCGTTACCGGTAGGTGGTAGTTTGCCTAAAACGACATTCACAGGTCGGGAGTTGTGAATGCCGTTCATGGCCTATCTTTGCAGAGTCGGGTCTAGTGGCTGGTCTGTGTATGTATGTACGTCTGGACCTTGTCTTCAGTTCGTGCGATGACACGTGCCTTGGCGGAGACTCTGCTGAAAGCATATGCCTGTCCGGGTGCTCATGTCTGTGGCACCATACTGCTACGTGCATAGCATAATGTAGTGCTCCCTGACAGGGTGCTTTTGGGCCTCGTTAAGGAGATGATGTTTCCGCTACATAAGAAGGCATGCCGCGGCTGCCCGGAGTGCTGTATTCTGACACCCGAAAAAAATTCACCCGAAAATTTGTCATCCGCCTATAGTAAAACCATGGAAACCAAATGTGAAAAGTGAACCGGTTCGGGGAAAATGAAACTCATGATAAATCCTTTTCCCCGGAACGGTTCACTTTTCACTTTTGGTTCCATGTATTTACTATGGGCGGATGAAAAATTTTCGGACGTCAGAAGCCCAATAGCCCAACACGCTCTGGCTACTGCAGCAGGTTAAACTCGTACCTAAGCAGAGTAAACGCAGATGTACCAAACGAGTACCCGGCATGCGGGGAGACACCCCATGACTCGAAGACATCTCTTCGCATGCTCACTGAACTCCACTCTAGTAACGCTTCAGTCCTTATGGACAGACCGCCTCCTCCAGCGTTATGTCCCTCATGGGTGGTCTCAAACTTCACTTGCATAAACTTTCTTATGTTGAACTTTAATCTCAAACTGCGACACTGTAAAAGCTTAACTCCGCGGGAGCTTTTGAAATCGCCCATCGTCGTCAAGTCAACAAAATGTAAACAAAGGATATTGGCATTGTTGTTTTTGTTTTGTTTGATATGCGCAATTCGTGTCCTTTGTTCATAAATCGCGACGGATATTTGTTGTAGCTTTTCAAATTATATCGTCATATGTTTTAGTTAATAAGAGCCTAATAAATATAAATATTAATTAATAAATAAATAGTAAAGTTAAAACCGTGCTTTGCGAAAATCAAATACAGAATATGTACAAACATCAGCTATAAATTAAAATCGAAAAGATTGCAGCGCATATAATCGATTTTTGAATTGCGTTCAATCCTAGAATAATCGATTCGAAAAATAAATCTTATCCAACTGAATTAAAGGATATAAAACATCTTTTCAGCAGCGAAAGATATTGAATATAGTGTATCAGAGCGTAAAATAACAAATAGTGGAGAGAGGCTGCATACCTCACCCAAAAAAAAATACCTAATTAAACACAATTAAATATGGCCACCGACTGCAAAACGGCAACTATTAGCGGTACAACAACAACAACAACCAGAACGGATTTGATGAATAATACAAAAGTTGGTACAGAATCACTAGCCGTACACACAGCTGCAAGTGGCAGAGGGAGCAGTGCTGCTGTCGGCGTTGTGGGTAATGGAGGGAACAACGACGATTCCGGTGCAGTATCGTCAAATAGTGATAAATCAGAAAAACAAATCGCACATATTGATTTTGATGCTCACGGTGATAGTATTGCTTTGCTTGCCGGTGATGATACCGATTATTGGCCACCGCCATCACCGCTATCAGCCATTGGCTACGGTCCCCCAATGGAGCCACAAAAGCCACGTTGGTTATCATCATTACACAGTGTCATCTTTATCATTACCTGTGCCTTAGCGGTATTTATTGTATTTCGTAACGTCTTAACTTGGTGAGTAAATTTTTGGACGGACTGGTACTAAATATTTGAGTTTAAATTGGTTTATGATTTTTCAAATATCGCGGCATAATGGCCAAAAAACGTAGCGACATTTTTTTTCAAAATTTTCTTTTTGATTCAGAAATTTTCCTAGAGCTATTATTGCATTAAAAAAAAAATAATAATAAAAAAATCGCTTACGTTTTTTTTGGCGGTTGGAGCTCGATAAATAAAATTTAATTTTATTTTATTTTCCTTTAATTTTGAAATGTGGTTTCTTTCATGAAAATTCAATGTAATGTCATTAAGGCAGTGTCACACGATCGGGCATTTGCACAAAATTTTCGGCAAATCGTATCCCAATCGCGTGAATGCGGAAATATTTTTCTTTATCCCAATCACGAAAACCAAGGTGTTCAAATTTTTCAATAGAAGTACGTACAAAATAAAAATTTTTATTACTTAGAAGCATGGTAACCCTGATGGAAAATATTTTCTGACCAAAGTTCTCAACAATACCTTTCATTTGATATCCATATTGCGATGTTTTAGATGAATTGTGTAGAATCGAAAATAAGTGGCAACCTTACACAACAGATAATATTTTGTATACAGGGAAAGCATTGTTTAAGAACCTTCTCTTGGTATCCATGAATAGTAAAATTTTACCTTTTTTCTAAACAAAAAATAAATAAATAAATATACGATTCAAATTAAGTGGCAACCCCATTAAAAATATTTTTGAATTAGGTATCTTTAAAATGCACTCCACTTTTTTAATTAATTTGTAACTAATTTCGAATAGGTGGCAACCTTATACGAGTCTTCTCGGAGATAGTGCCTGTTCATATAACCTTAAAATCTAAAACATTATCTGTGTACAAATTTTCATCAAAATCGTTAGAGCCGTTTCCGAGAACCCTATATATATATATATATATATATATATATATATATATATATAATTGAATAAAAACAAAACGAAAAATATGAAAGAGGAGTTCCTCATTCGCATCTTTTCTAGCAATCATATGAAATGTCGAATATATTCGACAAATCCACCGAAAGGGTTAATCTTATCAACTGTATACACTGATCTATGACGGAATTATACCAGGTGCAGTAATTAGAGCGAGAAGAAAGATTATGACACTGTCTTATTTGAAAAATTGCCTTTAAAATTTTACTATAAGGCAGCCGAATGTCAGAAAATAAAGCGACAATGCAGTTTTATTACTTCCATCTCGGTTGAAATAAATTCAAAGTTTCAAAGAATAGCGAAGAAAAAATAGTAGTTATCGCCTGCTCTCCCAACTTAGACGCGACTCGCATAGCTACAGCTTCAGCAGCGATTTTTTTTTAGGTTAGGTGGCAGCCCCAAGTGTCAGGGACTCACATAGACAATTAGGAGATGGTCCTTTGTGATACCACATTCTGAAAGGCACCCAATACTTAATCGATAAAACGCCTCCAGCCGATTATTTATGTAATTACGAATTCGGCTAATCTCAAATACTCCAGAGCTCCAGGGGACTATTACCGCCTCCTTGATATCAGCTACTTCCGCCTGAAATACACTGCAGCAGTTCGAAAGCCTGGATTTACTACTCATGGAAAGCTGTCGGCAGAAGACTCCTCCACCAACCCTACCATCCAGTTTCGATCCATCCGTG